TTTAGTTAGGAAGTGCCTTTATATTACAGTACTGTATGTCTTGTACCTTTTATTTGTAAATACAGTATATGTAAAGAAGGTAGATTTACCATGGTGTTTCTGTTGGTCTTTTTCGCCAAGGATTTTATTCATCAGCCTTGGCTGAATATTTGGGAACAAGTACCGAGTATCTCCTGCAGTTTAACTGAAATCTACCTGCGTAGAAATCGAAACATAACAATATCACTTTTGTAATGCAGTACAAAATTTAACTATCTTAGTATTGTGTTGAATTTCCATGCAAACTAGTGTTTAGCTCTAAAAAATAGGCATGAATTCCACTGCCTGTTGAATTAAAATATTATCGATCTAAATTTTAGTAGTAATGAACCATAATTGATAGCATCAAAATTTCAGCTCTGATTGCAGTGGTCAGTGGTCCCTTCCAGCTAGAGTCATGGACTTTTTTTTTGCTAGAATATCACAGGCACATTAGCAGGGGTATATATTGGAGGAAAGGGAAAGAACATTGATGATTTGTTACATTCATTGGGAGCAGTGAACTCCATTGAATAAAAACAAATCAGCTCACTGCTATCAAAAAGATGTAACTCATTGTTACTGTTCAATTACAAACAACACATGATTATAACTTAGTTTAATATGTATTTAACATTTAAATAATTTTTTGAAAGGCAATAGTATTTGCAGTAAAGGTGAGAAATCATAATTATGTTAATAACTGGTCAATGATTTTTTTTTTAGGGGGGGGGGGGGAATGAAGGCCATTGGGACAGTATACACCTGAGGTGGGGCATTATTTTAAAATTCGTAGTGAGTGATAATTTTTATCATGGCAGTAGTGTCAAAGAAGTATAGGTACTGTATTGTGATGGGGTTTATTGTTTTACAAGATTTTTCTAATGAGCTTACTGTAGTAAATTATTGTTTCTAACACTGGTTTATGGTTTTACAGATTAGAACTTCAGAAGCATCTGTGGTAAGTACAAAGTACCAATTATATGAAACTTTATCATATTTTGTATCATTTATGCTAGGTAGGGTTATACAAGGGTTCAGCTTTAAATATGCACATACAGATTTATGATTTCTGTTGAGTTGAAAATTTACTAAAATCTACTTAGACAAAATTTAAAGTTACTTTGAAATAAACATGAGAGTTAATGAGCTTTAAGATAACAGTTAAATTTTCCTTCATTATTACTCGTATATAAAGTGTGAATAAACTTTTAATCCTGAGCCTTGCTTTATCAGGCAGCAGACTTAATTTATATTTTTGTAGTGCATGTATGTTAATAACCCTCTGGACCATACAGTACTAGAAACATATCAAGGCTTGTAACACTGTTAGCTTTAAGTTGAGGCTGGAATAGGTTAGGTTACAATGTATAGGTTTAATTAAAAGTATAAATAACACTTAGAATGAGGTACTGTATATAGATGTACTGTAGGGTTTGTTTTCCAGATCAAGGTAAGGTTTATTTATTTTAGTATATATAAATGCAGTTATTTCAGGTGCACATGACATACATATGTATTTTTTCTCACTACAATTATAATTAGGATATATGAAGTTTATTTTAAGTCCAATTAAAGTTCATGTCTAATTTTTAGTACAAAAGAAATGTATTTTTTATCAGGTACAGATAAAATACATATGTATTTCTATGCAACACATGCAAACTTTATTTTCAGATGAAAGATAATGTACATTCCATAATGTTTTTTCTTTTTAAATGAATTTAAAGTTTCTTTTAAAGGGATATGAGGTTCGTGCATATATTTTAGCGAAACAGTTTTGTAAAGTTCTCTCCAGGGTCAGCAAAAAAAGTACTTGGGTTCATACAAAGGAGTGTTAGTTACAAGACTAGCGAGGTCATCCTAACACTATATCTTGCACTTGTGAGAACTCACTGGGATTACGCACTTCAATTCTCGTCACCGTATTACAGAATGGATATAGAATCCTTGGAAAGAATTCAGAGGAGAATGACAAGGCTAATCCCGGGCATGAGGAACCTTGAGTACAGAGACAGGTTGAAGCATCTTAATTTGCACTCCCTCGAGAGACGTAGAGTGAGGGGCGATATGATAGAAGTGTATAAATGGAAGGCAGGGCTAAGCAAAGGGGACATTACAAAGGTACTCAAACTATCCAACCAGGAGCGAACTCGTAACAATGGTTTTAAATTAGACAAATTTAGATTTTAGGCGTGAAATAGGTAAACACTGGTTTGGAAACAGAGTAGTGGATGAATGGAACAAGTTACCAAATATCATCATTAACTCGAATACGCTGAATAGCTTCAAACATAGGTTGGATGCTTATATGAACAATAGGGGTTGGGTGTAAACGGGACTGCCCAGTATGGGCCAATAGGCCCGCTGCAGTTTCCTCCATTCTTATGTCCTTATGTTCTTAGTAACTCTCGACAGGAGCTGCCATGCACAGGCCAACCGGCCTATTGCAGACTCCTTATTTTCTTGTATATATATATATATATATATATATATATATATATATATATATATATATATATATATATATATATATATATATATATATATATATATATATATATATATATATATATATATATATATATATATATATATATATATATATATATATATATATATATATATATATATACAGTATATATATATTTATATATGTGTGTGTGTGTGTGTTCAGTAAATATACAAAGTTTTATTTTTAATGTAGTTCTGAGAGATTTACTTTTTTTACGGAGGAAGGGAAGTAAATAGGTGGCTGTATCTTATTGTAGCATAATTGAAATTTTTTTTTTTTTTGTTCAAATGTTTTTTTAGGTCTTCATAAATTTCATGAATTTCTTTTAATGCAACAGAAAGCAAAATTCAATTATTTTTGTTTCTTTAGTTTCTTTAGAAAAGGATTCCAAAATATTTATTTTGTCACATTCCATTTTTTCATTTTATCGGGCCGAATGCGGTTTAGCGTGAAAGCAAGTACTGTACTGTACTGTACAGTGTTCTTTTCGTATGCTCACCACAGAAGTAAATAATCTTCAGTTCAAAGATGTAATCCTTGGACAGTAATGTACTAACTTAACTAAAACAACACCTGTAGTTTTTCTGATCAATACAATATATGCACTCCAGATTAAATTGTATGCACGAAAATTCTAATTTTCATACAGTACAGGATATTGAGGGTTTGGGCATCGATTAAGAGTGGACTCAATACTGGCCTTGAGCACTGTAAGTGCTACAGCTTTTTAGAAGTTAGTACATATGAAGTACAACCTTATCTATGTTTGCTGAGGTTTAGAATAAAATCAAGTTTTAGCAAATCCTCCGGTTGATATCAATAGGTTCATTTAGTCTCAAGCAGGACTTATTTAGGTTTTAGAAAATCCAAGGGTTTCAACAGTTCTTCCAAAGGTTCTTGTCAGTTCTGCAGGTCCTCGTTAGTTCAACAGGTCCTTGTCGGTTCCACAAGGACTCAGAAAATCCCACCATCAGGAAGACCTTGAATCCTGCCATTTGTGTATGCTGATCTGGTCCAGTTGACTTCCAGAGAACATAATTCATCATGTCATCGCCACTTGCCTCTGATAACCTTCCTCAACCCACATAACCCGCCACCCTCTCACATACCGGCCCCAGTCCCCTCTTTACTTCTCACTCGTAAATGTTTTGGATTCACAGTCGATATTCTTGGAGTTTACACCTCACAGAGAGGGTGAATTGACATAAATTTAAGCAGAATAAAATTTTAAATAGACATTGAGTTGTCTGAAGATCAAAATGGACTTAAAAAAGGGAAAGGGAGCTAGAGAAGTTATATTTAAAGTGAGAATTTTGAGTGAAAGAACTCTAGAGGTCCAAAGAAATTTCTAGATGTGCTTTGTGGATTTTATAAAAGTTTTTGTGAAGATAAAACACAATAGACTTATAAAGAGATCTTGGAAAAAATAGGCATCAATGAAAGATATATTAGAATTTTAAAAATTCTTTACTCGCAACAGGAGGCTGTGTTGATAGTATAAAAAATGAACTTGCTAATTGGTTCAAAGTTAGACAGGGAGTAAGACAAGGCTGTGTACTATCTCCAACACTGTATAATATCTATTCAGAATTCTTAATGAGAGAATTTATAAGTACAGTAACAATGAAGAAACAAATGTTAATGGTAAAGTACAATAAACGCTGTGCAGATGATATTACTATTATCACGGATAGTGAAGAGGCGTTGCAAAACTGGTTAACAGATTGGTGGAGAAAGATGAAGAATATGGGTTAAGAGTTAACGCTTTAAAGATGAATGTAATTTTTGTTTCGAAATTGGAATTAAATCTTGGAATAAAAAATATGGTTAGCAACAGGTAACTTAAACAAGTGGAAAAAATTTTGTATTTGGGACGTAACAGTAAATGTGGGAAAGAAATCATAACAAGAACAGGTCAAGCAGAAACACATTTAATAATCTAAAATAACTAATGAAAAGAGACATTAACTTCAAATTGAGAAAAATGCTGCTGAAGCGCTATATATGGTCAGGACTGTTGTATGTGTCAGAAGCATGGACACTTTCAGTAGACACCAGAAAGAGGTTAGAGGTTTTGAATTGTGGTGTTATAGGCGAATATTAAGAATAAGTTACATTGACAGGAAAACGAATGAAGAAGTATTAACGGTGGCACAAACTTCAAGAAACATATTTGAAATATACTGATAAAGAAAAATGAGATTAATATGATTAATAGGCAAAGTTGAGGGTAGGCACACATTGGGGTGGAGGAATTAGATTAAAAAATTGGGTCCCCAGAGAGAAACAAAATCTTGGAGAATTGGCAAAAACAGCCTGAAAACGTTGAGAGTGGAGGACTGTGGTCGCCAACCCTCAGATATGAGAGTAGTACTCTCATTGATCGAAAGGAGATTTCCTTAATAATAATTATGTTGATCGTATTAAAATTTTGTAATAAACATCCTATAAAACAGGAATTTCTTACCTGATAGCCACGTTGATGACATCGTTCCCTCTGAAAAAGTCTGAGGCGACGATGTTGGCCATGTGACCCCAGCGTTGTCGTAGCCACCGCGTGATGGCGAAGTTGGCTCTGTCAGCCAGTCCTCTCAACCCCACGTGAGAGCGGAGGATCATGTCCCACAGGGTCGGGGTAAGGTGAGCCATGGCTGCCCACAGTCTAGGTGAACCCACCCGCTTGTTCATCTGCGCATCCAAGTACGTCATCAGGTCGTCTAGCACCTGTGCATTTGCCCAGGCCTGAGGTAGAGGCGGCCACACCCAGTCTTTGTCGTCGGCGACGTCTGCGTCGGCGAACGTAAAGATCACTCGCTTTCCGATCTTCCATATCTGGTCTAGTGTGACCAGAGGACCGTAGCGGTTATGGAGGAAGTGAGAGCCGAGAGTCTCGTTCATCAGTGACAGTAGAAGCGGCAAGGCCTCAGGTAGGTCGAAACCGATAGGTGTTCGGTGGATGTCGATGATGATGGGATCTGGGGAGATGGCCAAGAAACCCCGCACGTCATTGAGGACCTCCAACAGCGGCCGCCAGCGTACGAGGTCATGGTTGATCCAGAGTAATTCTGGTGTATCCGGGTAGTAGGCCACCCGTAGGTCCAGGTACCTGGCGGTCACCAAAACATTAACAAACTTTATATCATACGACTGCCAAAGATTACACCAACATGGACAAGATATCCGGGCAAACAGCACAACATATTACACTGAATCTTAAGGTAACAGGCAAAATATTTGTATGAATAATAATACACACACACACACACACACACACACTGCTACTACTTTGCTGTCACTCAGAATCGAGTATGACTTTTATCCAGCTGTGACACAGCTATATGCGTTATTAAGGATGTCACCTTCGTTGGTGAGCTATGAGGAGACTCGAGAGGCCGATATGGGACCGGGAGGGTCGTTTGCAAATGTTGCATGTGGGGAGGGCTACATCTAGTGCGGGGGGGAGGGGGGGGGCAGCGTCTTTCCGGCGCTGGTGCTTGTCTGCTTCGGTATGCAGACGGGCTAACTCGAAAGTATTGACTTCTTCGCGTATGGTACTCCACCAAGTGTTACGGTGTGGAGTGATGACTCCCAGATGATGGGGTCGATTTAGCACTTTTTCAGGTTTGTCTTAAGACAATCCTTATACCTTTTCCGTTACCCGCCAGCGTTACGTTTACCATTCGTTAGGTGACTGTAAAGTACTTGCTTTGGCAGTCTACTGTCGTCCATGCGGGTAATGGCCGGTCCAACATAGTTATTCATGGATAATGGTAGCCTCGATGCTCCTACAGTTGGTGTCAGCGAGAGTGTTGGCATTTGTTCTCTTGTCTTCCCAGCGAACTCGGTGGATGAAACGTAGACCACGTTGGTGAAAATATTCACGTGTCTTGAGGTGCCTCCTGTATGCGATCCATGTCTCGCTGCCTTATAGCGGGGTGAGGAGGACCCCTGCTCGATATTCATGCAACTTTGTAGATAATTTCAGCCCCCTACAGCTGAAGACACGGGTATGGAGTCTGCCAAAGTCTTGAGATGCACATCTGATCCAATGTTGAATCTCTTCATTGATGTCCGTTGTGGTGGACAGGTGGGAGCTGAGATACCGAAAGTAGGTAACATTAGAGAGGGTGGTACCGTGGAGATGTGGTTGAACCAAGGGCAGGCTGGAAGAGAATCTGAGTCTAATGTACATTCACCTCAAGGCCAAAGTGTGCATGCGCATCTGTGTAGGTGTTCAGGATCTCCTGTAGGTAGCATTCAGTGTGAGCGACGAGGGCGAGGTCATCTGCATACTGATGTTCAGGAATGGAAACTGCCAACACCTTTGTTTCTGCCTGGAGTTGTCTTATGTTGAAAAGTCCTTTCGGCTAAATTGGCCAAGAAAATGGAAAAGAGAGCTGGTGCCAGCACACAATCATTGTTTTACCACCGTTTGGATGGGGAAAAATTCAGATTTCGTGCCATTATTATACAGAATACTGCCGTTCAAGCCATCGTGGAATTGCCTCACAATGGCTATGAATTTTGGTGGGCAGCCAAAACGGCTGAGGGTCCTCCAGATGGTTTCCCTTGGTAAGGTCGATAAAGGTCATATGCTGTTCTCTGCACTTTTCTTGTATCTGGCGGGCAGCAAAGATCGTGTTAGTGGTGCCACATGATGGGCTAAAGCCAAATTGGGTGGAAGTTTTCCGCCCTGGGTGATAATCTTGCTAGCTACGAACAGCAACGAGATCCCACAGTAGTTGCCACTCTCTGACTGGTCTCCCTTGTGCTTATGCATATTGAAGATGGATGCATCTTTAAGAGCTTGGGGATTTCTTCCTTTCCCATGTATACACCTCGGCTGGGATTCCAATAGTCCCTGCGGCTTTATTATTTTTCATCTGTTTGATGGTAGTAGCTACGTCATCCAAGGATGGGGGATAGCTGAGGTGGGTCAGCTCTGGGTGCTGAGGGACCTGCTGGGTAGTCAGGACATCCACATCGGTGTTTCGGTTGAGCAGCAAATGGTAGTGCTTTTTCCAGCATTGAAGGATGCCTTCTTCGTCTTTAATTAGGGAATTACCATTGGATGAGCGGAGGGAAGCTGTGCCATAAGTGATTGGTCCACAAAATGTTTTAGTGGAATTGAAAAATTCGTGCATCTCATGTTGATTTGCAAGCTTTCATTTCACACGCTTTATTTTTCACTCATTCGTTCTTTAGAATGCGAAGTTCACGCTTGGCCGCCGCTTTCTTCTTGTGGAAGATATCAGCTTTGGTCGGAGAGTTAGGGTAGTTTTGCCAGTCAGTTGTTTATCATCGACGAGTACGATGATTTTATCGGTAATTTTCAGCAAACCAGTGCTGGTGTATTCTTTCGATCTGGCCAAGGGTCTCTGCAGGTTTTGTCATGACAGTGTCGAAAATACCCCATTTGGTAGTTTGTTGTTTGGTTGTTTATTAGCCCATGTTCGAGCTGCTCTCTGAAAGCATGTGCTACTGCTGGATCCTCCAGATGCTTAGTGTTAAAACCTTTCAGATGCTTGTTGCCCTCGCCGTTTTGAGGCGACGTAAAGTAAGATTTTGGCTCTGACGAGCCGATGATCGGTGTCAAAGTGGTCTGAGCCACGCATAGCTCAGGCGATGAGGACATCTCTGCGATCTCTTTCTCTGACAGTAATGTAGTCAATGAGATGCCGGTGTTTGGATCGTGGGTGTTGCCACGATCCCTTGAACTTGTTGGCTTCCTGAGCAAGGTATTGGTGACAGCGAGGTTGTGTACACCACCGATGCTGAGGAGGAGTAGACTGTTTGGATTATACTTGCCTCTTACGTTTCTCTCAATGATGCTCTGCCATATGTCAGCATCTCTTCCAACTCTGGCATTGAAGTCACCTAGGAGAACAACCTTTTCTTCTTTGTGGATAGAGGTTAGCTCTCTGTCAACGTCGGCTTAAAAGGCCTCCTTGATGTCATCATCTGTATCCAGTGTTTGGGCATATGAACTGATGAAGAAGGCATGGCGTGAGTGTTTCAGTGGGACTCGGAGCGTGATGAGGTGCTCGTTGATCCCAACAGCCATTTCAGTTAGCCTATGTAGGATGGATTGGCGAATGGCAAAACCAACTCCATAAATGAGGTTTCTCTCCACAGCAGGCTTACCCTTCCAGACCCTCTTTCTGTGAGTCGCCCTTCGTCTGGGAACCGGGACTCACTGATGGCTGCTATATCGATGTTATTCCTAGACAGCTATTTTGCCACAAAGGTGGTTATTCTTTCAGGATGCTCATTTGTGCCAGTATCCAAAGGGGTCCTGGCATTCCATGCAGCGACCATAAGAGGTTATATAGTTTGTTTTTGCTTTCATCTGTGATTATGATTGTGTTTTCGACTGCATAAGGATGACCTTCTGGGTGCGGTTACACAGTCAGATTGGTTCTTCAGGTAGACTATGTTTATGGCACCTTTTTTAGCCCCCTCCTATGTGGGGCGAGCAGAGTGGCTCCTTGAAAGGGCTGCTTAATCGCACAGACAGGACCAGATTGCACTGCTGCTTAGATTCCAGTGCATAAACGACCATCTGATTTATGCTGCCCATGTGCCTAGAGAATAGAGACTCCCGGCAGTCATCTCTACCTGTCCGTGTAGCCACTCGTTCGTCGCCATAGGACTTTTGGGGGTATAGGCGTTTTGATGATGATACGTATGGTGAGCTGGATGTTGGCTGCACGTGAGTTGATTCATGTGATGAGGCAGACGTGCAGGCTGCAACCACACATCGTGGTCTCCCCTTTCCTGATCCAGTGGTGCAAGCTGTTGTCACGACTAAGGAGAGGGAGAGTTGCAATGGACTGCTGATAGCCCAGTTTGCTGGGTTTCGCCTTAGTAGCCTGTCCATCTTGCATTACCTTCATCTGCCAGTGTAGTCGTTGGGTTCCCATGTTGGTCACCTCTTTCGCCTGTACCGCCGTTGGGGTCTTATTGGAGCTCTATTAGCGTGTCTGCCTGTTGTGAGGCTCCACAGCAGATTTTTTTTATTCCCATAGCCTTGTACCTGCCAAGTTTAATCCGCAAGGCAGCGGGGCAGTGGTTGGTAGGCGTCAAGACGTGTCCATATGCCAGTGGGCCTCGGCGCCATCCCTCTGGGGCCCTCTGCTGCTCCGAGATCCCTTGCTGGTCTCGCCTGGGTCCACGAGGCACCCAGTTACCGTGTGTTGCCAGGAGGAGACACAGCAGAAGTCTTGATGATGAAGAGGCTGTGTACTGGGAGGGGAAGACTTATACAAGTTGCCTCCCTGTTCTCCACGAGGGCTATCCAGCGGCGGTAGCTGAAAGCGAGAGGAAAAAGAAGTGCTTTCGCCTTTACACTTACATAATGCTGCCACCATAGACGCATTACACCATTCTGTGCACACACATACGTGCACACACACACACACACACGAAAAAATTTCGGAATAGTGGATATAAATTCCCACAGCTAAGCGTTACGGTATACAGTATAACATTCTCTATTAAAACCTTTGTTTTTTAAAGAGAAAGTAAAAACAATGTTACTTGTCGTCGTGTGTGTGTGTGTGTGTGTGTGTGTGTGTGTGTGTGTGTGTGTGTGTGTGTGTGTGTGTGTGTGTGTGTGTGTGTGTGTGTGTGTGTGTGTGTGTGTGTGTGTGTGTGTGTGTGTGTGTGTGTGTGTGTGTGTGTGTGTGTGTGTGTGTGTGTGTGTGTGTGTGTGTGTGTGTGTGTGTGTGTGTGTGTGTGTGTGTGTGTGTGTGTGTGTGTGTGTGTGTGTGTGTGTGTGTGTGTGTGTGTGTGTGTGTGTGTGTGTGTGTGTGTGTGTGTGTGTGTGTGTGTGTGTGTGTGTGTGTGTGTGTGTGTGTGTGTGTGTGTGTGTGTGTGTGTGTGTGTGTGTGTGTGTGTGTGTGTGTGTGTGTGTGTGTGTGTGTGTGTGTGTGTGTGTGTGTGTGTGTGTGTGTGTGTGTGTGTGTGTGTGTGTGTGTGTGTGTGTGTGTGTGTGTGTGTGTGTGTGTGTGTGTGTGTGTGTGTGTGTGTGTGTGTGTGTGTGTGTGTGTGTGTGTGTGTGTGTGTGTGTGTGTGTGTGTGTGTGTGTGTGTGTGTGTGTGTGTGTGTGTGTGTGTGTGTGTGTGTGTGTGTGTGTGTGTGTGTGTGTGTGTGTGTGTGTGTGTGTGTGTGTGTGTGTGTGTGTGTGTGTGTGTGTGCGTGTGCGTGTGCGCGTGCGCGTGCGCGTGCGCGCGCGCGTGCTCGTCAGTTTTAATTTCCTCAAGGATCAAAATTGAAACTTGGAGCCTACTGTTAATTCACTCTTGATGGCTGACCTGTTGCCGTAAAGCAGCTGGGAGATGATGTCCTCATCTTGGCAGACGACCCAGGCAGACACAACGTCACCACGATCCTTGAGGGAGTATGACCCGGCGTTGTGTGTGCCAGGCAAGACCAGCGACCTGAGCGACCTCCCGCCCAGCACCTGTCTGAGTAAAAACACCGTAACTGCTGTTATCACCTCAAAATTTTATGGTCTGTGTTACAATATTATTATCATCTATATGCCTACAGTTTAGCGATGGATTATATTAATTCACCAGGGTCGAAAACCGACGTAGGCAGTCAGTGGCTTTAATGATTTTATTTTGTTTCACTTGGGAAAATTTCAACGTTTATGGTTTAGGTTATAACTAAGAAAACCTTTCTTCTTCGAAATTTCTTCAATAAATGTATATTTTACCTTTACAAGTTATCCCAAATTTTACCCCAAACTTGGCATAATGAAGATTCTCTGTGTTATGTATTCGAATGGTTGTGTTTAGTAATGATTCATATCAACAAAGTTGGGACACTGTAACATCGCTAAATGGATTTGAATTATTACATTTGCTATGAATTCTTAAAGTGAATACTGTAATTTCCATCTTGTATACAAAAACTAACTAAAGTCCTCCTTGGCTGGGATGCTTAAAGAAAATGAAGAAAAAAGGGGAGACTCATAAATGTGTCACCTGTTGTCAAAGACCCAAGTCGGATAGGCAGCTTGGCAGTCAGCCGCCACACACACACCATTCCTCACGAACCCCACAAACACGCCCACACACCCACCGCGGGCCAGCACGCTTAGCTGTGGAGAGAGAATATCTGTCGCAGCTGTGGTGTGAAAGTGTTTGTCACAGGCAATGTCATCGTCTGTGACACAGCTGTTTCATCCGTGGTTTAAGAACTTTCTTATCACGATCTAAGTAAACTCAAAAGTATATCCATCTGCCCGTCCCTTCATCTGTACACTAAACTGGAAGCTGAAGATTTGGGCTGACATACATTCAAAATATCCAAGACAGACATGAAACATAGCTTGGGTGGTGATGTTAGATATTCGTCAGTCTTAAGATCATGGACCACATATAATTTCCTCTCCACACGACTCCTGTTAGCCAAGTATTTTTCTGAGAATCTTCTATGCTCAAGGATATGAATTAAATCTAGTGTCCTGATTACAGATTTACGTTATCTTTACTATGATGTAAAAATACGTAAAGTGCACTTCAAGACATTGTTTACATTCACTCCTCATCTACTGTTCATAATTTCATGTCTACTTAAATCCACTTCTAATTAAACCCAGAGCTTACCTAAACCCACATATACTTAAAAGTCACATTCTGCATAAGTCCATGTCAACACAAAGCTACCAGAGGGTACCTATTGTTAAGCTGTTGTTTACCTAGCGCACACCTTTATAAGGCCAATGTTTATCACAGCTAATGTCTACCCAAAGGATACGCCTTCTACAACTTACAGTTCCATATCTACCTTGACTCTACTACCCAAACATCTATTTTTTCTACTTTTCCACTTATATTCTTCATCTCCCTCTCCCCTACCTACCTCAGCCCTGTGCTGGGTGATGTTGGTGGTGACAGTACCGCGGGAGGAGAAAGGCGTGTCCCAGTAAAGAGGGCGCGGCATCTGCCAGAAGCGGTGTGACGTGGTGGAGGGGGGCGTGGTGGGTGGGGGCCTGGCGTGTGGAGGGCGAGGGTCCTGCTCGAACACCCCAAGCCAATCACCCTCCAGGATCTCCTCTGCGTCCCAGTTAATCTACGGGAAGAAAATACAATGTTATTGGTGAAGGCTTAATGGACACAGTAGCGCGAGTGGCAAGGTCTCACATCCGAATGACTTGAGTTCGAATCTCAAGCCAAGAAGGATTAAGGTAGAGGTGCTGTCTAAAGAGACTCAGAGATTCAGGTGTTAAACCCACGAACCTCATCTGTAGCGGCTCAGAACTTTTGTAGTTTTATAGTGGTTAATAATCTCGCCCTTAGCGGCACAAAAATTTTACCTGTGGGGCTCAGAACCTCACCTGTAACGGCTCAGTCTCACCTGTGTGGGAATAGAACCTCACCTGTAGCGGCTCAGAGTCTCACCTGTGGGGGATCAGAACCTCACCTGTAGCGGCTCAGTCTCACCTGTGGGGGATTAGAACCTCACCTGTAGCGGCTCAGAGTCTCACCTGTGGGGGATTAGAACCTCACTTGTAACGGCTCAGAGTCTCACCTGTGGGGCTCAGAACCTCACCTGTAGTGGTTTATAATCTCACCTGTAAGAGTCTAAACTGCATCTTGTTGGCGTGTCTCTCGGGTGAGGCCTTGATGGTAGGCCATACCCGCACGCCCACGCCACCTGCGCCCACCAGGTCTGCGCACACAGCTGCGGTAGGAACACAGCGTTATACAGACAGCTGCGGTAGAAACACAGTGTTACACAGCGGCTGTAGTAACACAGCGTTACACAGCTGCGATAGGAACACACCGTTACACAGCTTCGGTAGGAACACAGCGTTACACAACTGCGGAAGGAACACAGCGTTACACAACTGCTGTTGGAACACAGCGTTACACAGCTGCGGTAGGAACACTGCGTTACACAGCTGCGATAGGAGCACACTGTTACACAGCTGCGATAGGAACACAGCGTTACACAGCTGCGATAGGAACACAGCGTTACACAGCTGCGGAAGGAACACTGCGTTACACAGCTGCGATAGGAACACACTGTTACACAGCTGCGATAGGAACACAGCGTTACACAGCTGCGGTAGGAACACAGCGTTACACAGCTGCGGTTGGAACACAGCGTTACACAGCTGCGGTTGGAACACAGCGTTACACAGCTGCGGTTGGAACACAGCGTTACACAGCTGCGATAGGAACACAGCGTTTCACAGCTGCGGTAGGAACGCAGCGTTACATTAATTACGTCTCAGCTGTACCATCACCCTTTATGCACCAGGGAATAAAGACTATAATTTATAAAATGAACGAGAATAAACAAGAACTGGTCCAATACCGCACTTATGAGGGTGGCCACGTAGATTTCTGTCACTAAATCGCTCAACCAGGACTGTCACTCACAGAAGTGACCGACGCAGTTAAATAATAAAGGGCGAGATATATTTACTTCTATCTTGGGGTGCCGGGTTTGTTTTTGAAGGGCAACTCAAAATCTACGTCCGTAACCACACTATTATTTACACTGCACCAACTACACAATCATCTACACTACATCATTTACATAATCATCTACACTACATGAACTACTCATTCATTTACACTGTCATCAACCACTTGACTTGACGTCTGTAGATAAGGTAGAGGGCTAATGCTTGTAATGCTGAGTGGGAGGACAGGGATTAGGATTGGAAGTACTTTGGTGGCAATTTGGGGGGAGAGGGGACTGGTTAGGATCAAGGTTAAGAGGGAGGAAATTTGAAGGAAAGTAAGAGATTGACAGTATCCGGGCTCAACCAGATAAGCTGAGGTTATAATAATTATATTTGAACTTACATCTTGCGTGATTAGGTTCTAACTCTCAAGCCTTTTTCATTTAGTTAAAAATATGTTTATTTTTGCAGTAGCCATTGTTCCAAGGAAGGGGTGACGACCTCTAGCCAGGTTCTTGTGGAGCCGACTGAGCCACGCATCTTTTGTTTTAATAAGAGTGGAAGGAGGGGCAAGAAGACACACTCATCGACTGTACAGTTTTAAACTATCACTTTTAGGTGGAGGCTCGTTCCCCGCCAGAGCCGTGGCAGTGTTGACGGTGAGGGAAATATCGCACTCTTTCTTTCATACTTTTTTGTTTTAGCCAAATCTATAAAGTAACACTCAGGTGCACACTCCTATGGTCCCCTTGTCCCCTTATTATGAACGCACACACACACACACGCACGAGAGAGAGAGAGAGAGAGAGAGAGAGAGAGAGAGAGAGAGAGAGAGAGAGAGCGATTTATTGATAAACATTACATGGCTGCGTATGGTACAGAAAGCACATGTTTACATAAATGTTGATAAGAGGTTGCATAAAACCACCACAATAACACAAGTCAAGGTTAAACTCTCCACCATAATAATAATTATATAAAGAGTTAAGTTTCTGGGTACATGAATTACAATATTAAAAGATAAAGTTTAAGTCACGAATGAAGTGAATTAAGTTGGGATGCAATTTATGGGATGCACGATTTCCTGAGTCTGGCTCCGCAGCAGAAGTTTTGAAAACAATGTGAGCCCCGAGTTACCCTGGCACTGACTTCCCGCCTCCACGGCGGCAGCAGGTCGCGATGTCGTGGCTTTTCCAGTAGAGCACGACCGAACTTCAGGCACAGGTCCTCGCGCCTCTGTTCCAATGTATTCAGCTCGAACATGTCAAGGGCATTTTGATACCTAAGGGTCCCAGTCCACTGCTATTTTCATTACCCGACGTTGAATCCCTTCTATCTACTTCGCCTGATGATAGTGTGAGCCCGGCGTCGAAGAGTGGGCAGCAACACTCCAGGATGGGTCGGATGTACAGTCAGCCAAAGATCCAACGACCCCACCCTGGGTCTCGTACTGGCAATTTGACCTGGCAATACTTGGTAAAATATGGCCGTATGTAAAGGTGATTGTGATTGGTGGATCTATTTTCGGCTGTATCACTGTCAGGATAAATATTAAACCATCCAAAGGTAGAAATTTTATAATAATAAACTATTCATTGTTGTTTAAGATCATGAGAAGTTTCCAAATGTTCGTATATTTGCTTAAATAATGAAAAAAAATCGTTCTGAGAATCTTGTGGCAGCTCTCGTTGTAGTTGAGTTGCCAATGATGTGAAGAAGATTGGCTGCTCTTGTAGTGATACTATTGATGTGGCCTTGCCATGAGAGGTCATTGGTGAGGGTGACTCCCATCAGTTTACAGCTGTTCACTACTGGGATGCTAGTGTTGGTTGTCGCTAGACCCGGCTAGATTAGGGTTTTCTTACTGGTAAATATGTGCATAACTTCGCACTTTTATATGTTGATGTTCATGTTACTTTCTGAGGCCCAGGCCTAGAGATCCTGCGTGACCTGTAGATGGTAAGATCATTGACATATTTGAGGAGTCTGTGGGAGTCTCTCGCAGCACTATTGATCATGGCCAGGATGGCAGTGGGTCCACGCGCAGAACACCTTGTGGTGCACCACATGTAGTTTTGCTCAACTCACTAAGCTTCCCAGCGGGGCCGCGAACTATCTTAGGAAGCTGCAGAACTATCGGAAAAGTGTGGATCACAGTCCTAATACGAAGTCTCTGGATGACAAGTGTGTGGTCTATAAGGTCGAAGCCTTTCCAAAAGTCATACGTGACTAAAGAAAATAACTTGCCAGGCTTATCAAGGTCGGTGAACATATCATGAAAAGACGAAAAAGGTAGTGCGTGGTGGAACATTTTTTCATGTTAACATATTGTCTAGGGACAATATATGGGGGGGATGTCGGACATGATCATTGGTGCTACGAAGCATTCAAAGATTTTGCTGAAAGTGGGAGTAAGGCTGATGGGTCTAAGTTCGTCTATGGTGATGGGTTTAGGCTTCATAGGTATTGGGAGGATAATTGCTTGACGCCAGCGGGAGGAAACTGTTCTTCCTTGAAAGACTTTTTGTATATGTGGGTGAGAGGTAAACTCAGTTCAATGGCGAACTCCTTTATGAGTATGATAGGGAGGTCACCTAGAGGTGTGGCCATGTAAGAGACGTTTGGCTACGTCCCACGGTTGCAATTCTACGATGCCCTCCTCCGCCAGGAGGTAGGCAGGAAGAGCGGGCATATGAATGGGAGACAGCTGGCTGCACGTCCACTAATTTGCTCCGTGAAGCTTTGGTGCATCGGGTGCGTTGTCCAGGTCTTGGGTTTGCGATTGATTCGTGGGAACTTGTACCTCCCGACACCAGCCTCCTTTCACATCGTCGCAGAGTTTTTGGATGCAGCGACGATAACATCTATTTTGGGGGGACTTAATTCTATCTCTGACCTCCAATCTCAGTTGACGAAGATTTTGGTGCTGACCTCTGCTGTGTGTCCGGTCACGTTGGGAGATGAGCCGTTTTATTTGTGCAGTCATCCAACTTGGGTCATTGCTCCGCTTGGTGAAGGTGATTTGTGGGAAGTAATTCTCGCAATTGGTGTGAAGTACAGTTTGTGCTGAAGATGTTCTACAGCACGGTCGAGGTGTAAAATTGAAGTCACATTCCTCCAGTCTTCATTGCAAATCCATTGTCCGAAGTCTCTGATGGATGAGTCTCTGAGTGGTCGAACTGAGATGGTTTGGTCCGATGTATCGAGTACTGTAAAGAAGGTTGGTTCTTGGGCGCCTGGCCTATAATTGCGTGGGTATTTATTGTATAGTAGTTGTATTAACAGTTTTCTTCAGAGCAGGGAGGTTGCCGGTGCTCTGCGATTTAATGCAGATGACACACACCGTAGGATAATAAATAAATAAGTAAATAAAAAAATAAAAAACTGAGTATTATTTTTTTGGATTAAGTTTCATCTCTTTAGTCTTGTATTTGTCTCACACTCCCCATGACGTCGTATCACGAGTCTGAAGTTTACAGAAACGTTCCTCAGTTGTTTTTAAATTTGGTTTATATGTTTCTCATTAATTACACTTGCTTATTTCACGTTTACTAATTGCGGGTGACACATAATTACTTATCTATATCTGAGATCGTATTTCTCATTCTGGGACGCGGTAAAGGATACAATCCTTAGCTTTTGTCCATCTAATCTGCATATTGTTCACAAACTTTATTAGTCATCTTGGTGTTCAACGTCTTTAAGATTATCTGAGCTTTATGTTCATCCGTTGTGTTGCCATGTTGGTTGTTGGAATAATTGACGATCGCGTATATATTTTAGGACAAGTTTCAGATTCATTTCGTTACTGTTCTGGTTCACTTTCTCTGGTACAATCCTCATTTGTTTGTACCATGAATATACTTCCCTGTTCACTGAATCGTAGACTTAAAACCCTTAATATATCTACTTGTGTCTTAATAATTACACGCTGGGTTTGTAGATGTTGGTTTGTCTGTTAGTTTATCCCCTCCTGTTGGTTTAACTGCTGGTTTATTCTCTCCAATTGGTTTAACTGCTGGTTTATTCTTTCCTGTTCTTTTAACTGCTGGTTTATTCTCTCCTTTTGGTTTAACTGCTGATTTATTATCTCCTATTGGTTTAACAGTTGGTTTATTCTCTCCTATTAGTTTAAATGCGGCTTTATTCTATCCTATTGGTTTAACTGATGGTTTAAGTGCTGGTTTATTCTCCTGTTGGTTTAACTGCTGATTTATTCTCTCCTGTTGGTTTAACTGCTGGTTTATTCTCTCCTATAGGTTTAACT